TGGGCTGATCTTGTACTTTGGGCTAAATTAAAGGTATATGATCCATGGTTTCTGTTTTGATAATGCGAGGTTAATTTTTTACCGTCAACTCAAGTCCAGGACAAAAAGAGAAAATTTCTAGTGAGGAAAATGAAAAAAAGGGACAATTATGAAAGAAATACGGGACTATTTTGTATAACACTTTCAAGAAAATTATAAAAAACATCTATAATTTTTTTTATAGATCTGCTATTTCGTATAGCGGATCATCAACCGATCGGATATTAATGAAAAAGATGAAGTGCAAAGATGAATTAATCCATCGGATATTAATGAAAAAGATGAAGTGCAAAGGTGAATTAATCCATGATTACGTAGATGTATGATTATTTTGAGAATATACTATTGAAAGATGGGACGATTGTTGTTATCAATTTTTTCTAAACAAACCTTTAATTAGATATGTAGTTTATTGTAATATGATAGGCTTTGTTTAATGTAAAAAATGAAGAGCCCGTTTGGAGACCCCTTTTTTCAGCTTATCAGGCTTATCAACCAGCTTTTTCACTAAACACGTAATTTTTACTTTCGCGTGCTGAATTGTGTAATAAGCAGAAAAAGTAAGGTTGGAGTTACTTTTCTGGCTGTATTGGTTGAAGTTACTGTAGATGGCCATTTTAGCTATTTTTACATGTAATTTTTATTTTATTTTATTAATACAATATATTTTTAAAATATTTTTTTCTAGAATCAGCAGAATCAGCCAAAACAGCCACTTCAGCCAGAACTTCATAAATTTAAGCAGAAACAGCCAAAACAGCCGATTTTCGTGCTACCAAACGGGCTCGAAGATGTGTTTGTTTTGAACGGAGTAACATCTTTTTCAGAAGTATGCCTTTATGCTTCCATTAATAGCATTGCGGGTAATAAAAGTTCCTTGAATATCCGAACGATATAAAAACAATCTTTAATTAGATCTTTGGTTACAGGGGAAATATATATTAATCGTAAGCAATGATTTGTGGAACAAATTCAAATCTTGATGAAAAGATATTTTAGTCCACCATATGGGCGTTTTACGTCATTTTCTTGATGAAATGTAATAAAAAATGTGTAGGCCGGAGAGGTTGTTTGCTTTCACGTCTCTGATTTTTCTGTTTTCCTCCGATAACATGAGCTTTCACATCCACTTCACTCTCCATTTTTAACACCTTGCCTACCTTTAGTTATGTACGATTCAACTTACATACGGAGTATTTAATTTGTTGGAGATCAAATCAATTCAAAACAAACATGCATATCAATATAACCACTGCTCATAACCAGGGGCGGAGCCAGACATACATGATTAAAGGGGCCAATTCTTAAAAATTTTACATTGCAAGGGCTAAAGTTTAAAATAACAAAATATTTTCTATAGATTAGAATTATTTATACATAGGGAATAGACCTAAATAGGACTAAAAAAAGATGGGTAGATAAATAGGGCCTAAATTTTTTTAAACCCTGAATAGAACTCATTTTAAACTCAAGTGACAAAATTGCCCTTACTAATGTCGCTCACAGCTTCGCACCAATGTCGCAGCAATTTTGAATTCAAGTCCCGGGCTGCATCGATTAGATTACCCACAGGCTGGAGAAGTCGCCGGCGCTAGTTACCAACCAAGTGGTCTGCGGCTAAAGTCTTCCTCCCCGACCTCTTCTTCCTCCCTGTCCTTTTCTTCTTCATCCTTTTCTTCTTCCCCTGCGTCATCCCATTTAACATATTTGTGCTGCGATGAGTGTCGGCTTGTTCGTACCTTTTTGTTTTGGCTTACTTTTTCATTTTTGTTTCACCTTTTGATTTTTACCTTTATTTTTGTTGGTGGTGTTTACGTTTTAGTATTTTAATTTTATTTTATTTTGTATTCTTAATTATGTTCTTTGCAATATGTCGTAGCTTTTGTTCGTGTTGTTGTACGTTTCAGTTTTTTAACTTTATTTTACTCTGGATTTTGGATTCATTTAATAAAAGTAATTTTCTGGATTTATTGTTTATTTTGACGAATCTTTTCATTGATAATGAAATGACAAACAATGTCACAATATAATGTGGTGGGGAACACTTGTTTTAGAACTATGACATTATTGCCGCATTGTGTAATATCATTGTGACTATCGTGTCATTGTTTCCATGACTAATATTATGATATTTTAACATTTGTAAGAACTGACATTATTTTCGTTGATGACATTATGATGTTGTGTAATAATATTATTTGACATTGTTCAGAAGTGATCAACAATGTTATATACTCACAATGTCAATGACAATGTTATACATACAATGTCAATAACAATGTTATACTCACAATGACAATGACAATGTCAATGTAACTGACATTAAATGACATTGTAGCAATGACAATGAATGTCATTGCCAATGGTGTGAAAAATGTCATTGTGATCATTACAATGTCAATTTTGAAATTAGAAATATTTCACAATGTCATATATGTAATATTACAAATTATAAACATTTTCAAAACAAACAATGTTATAATATTAACATTATAGTCTAAATTTAAAAACGCAATGTCAATGACAATGTTATAAAAGATATGCCATTGTAACATAGATGTAAAGACAATGTCATTATTAATATTGTGACAATGTGAAATTACAATGTCATCGGAATCAAACTATTCTGAAAAGAATGTCAACGTTACAAAATGTCATGCTAAAATCATTACATTGTCATTATGTATTGTGTGACAATGTTGATATCATTGTAAAATTATGTGATAGTACACATCAAATTGTGACATTAACCATTCATTATGTATTGTGTGACAATGTTGATATCATTGTAAAATTATGTGATAGTACACATCAAATTGTGACATTAACCATGACATTTGAATTAAATATTATCTAAAAATAAACAGTAGAAAAAGTTAGAACTCAATAAAAGAAATTAGATAAACAAAATGAATAGCATTCAACAAAACAAAAAATGGAAAGGAACCAAGAAAGGGGAAAGTAACCAAACGTGTGATAAATTGAAAACAATAAAAATTAAAAAGATTAAAAAGCACATGAGAAAGCAGCAGCCAACAAAAACTCCCAAATCTACCCAAGAGAAAAAATTCCCAGATCGAGAAGAGAGAGCCGACTATGAGGCAAGTTCATCTAGGCACTTGTCTTGGGCCTCACATTTTATTGGGCCTCAAAAACAAAAATAAATTATGGAGTATCACAGAGTAATTTTTAAATTGGATTAGGAATTAGTAAATTGGATGGGAACTTTTCCACCTTATTGGATTAAGAGATAGTGGGGTCTACGGTGTTGGTTTGCTTTCCACATGCGGAGTGTTATTGTGTTAAATTTTGTGCTCCTTTTTCGGTTACTAACATCTTTTTAACAGTTTTAGGTTAATAACTTAATAAATAATAATGGTTGCAAATTTCTAACTAACTAATGATCGATTGCTACTCACTAATCACTATTAGTCATTTATGTTTTGCACTAATATTTTATAATTGTAATTTGTAATAGTATTCTGCATTTAGTTATTTGGCTACTAATATTTTATAATTTTAATTGTAATTGTTATTTTTTATACTTTTTTGATGATTTTTCTATTAATTACTATCTATAAATATGCTAAAGAGAGATAATAAGTTGAAAATAGATTTGATTATTAAATCGCTTGCCGACTTTATGGCCGGATTGATTGTTGGCGGATATTGAATTACAATTTCATCTTATTTTTATGACTATGTCTTATATAAATCACATTAATATGATATGTGAATACTTTCTCTGTATCAAAATTAGCATCGCACTTTCTTTTTTAGATTGTATCCAAATAAGTATCATGCTTCTATTTTGAAAATAAATTCACCCAAAAGTCACTTTAATTAAGTTAACAGTACTACTATGATACCAAAAATCTCCTAATATAATCATACATTTTTTAAGGTTGTTAGGAAATCGTTATATTAGTATATGGTTGTAAGGAAATCGTTATATTAGTAACAACCAAATCGTAGTAGTACGATACCAAAAAACTCCTAATCGTTATCAAAAAAGCACCACAACCAAATGTAAACAAAGTCTTCTAGAGTTGGACAATGAAAGTATTTCTATGTAAATGTGTATAATGTTGGGGAATGAACTAACATCTCGATTAGTAGAGTTATTAACTTTAAGCATCTTCAAGTGTCATTCAATTTAAGGATAAATGAACAAAATAGTTATATTTCATTATACTTACATTTTATAGTATTCCTTCTTATTCCCAAAAATAATTCGTTGCAACCACATAAGTATTTTCTTAATTATAAATATTTGTGTCTGTTGCATCTAAACTCTCTGCATTCATTTACACACTAAAGCATAATGTTAAACTCTCTTTAACTATAAACAATTATGATATTACTTACCACTTTATTATGAGTTCAAATATTTTTGCATTTTTATAATACAGTTCCTAATCACACATTGATAAACTTTTATCCGTGCATCGCACGGGTGAGAATCTAGTTCGTTAATAAATCAAACATTAAGGATAATTATAATGGCTACTTTAATCTGCACAACCGAAAATACCCTTATCCCTGTCTTTTCGTTTCTCGATCACATCTGCTCCTCTTTCCGATCCAAAAAACCTTCCATATATGCATGAGTCTATTCTTAAAGGAAAACAGGTGCAAGTCCTTCGGCACCAAAGAACATGGGCATCGCCGGCTTTTCTTCTTGCACATCCAATTACGAGAGTTGCAAATAAATTAAAAATGGGAAACAGTCTTATCATTCCTACCCAACTTAATTCGCTGGCAGGAAAGAAATCCTTACCTGGGGATGCTCCATTTTTGCTCCAGAAAAGTAAACAGAGGGGATCAATTTTTTGAGCATATATACGTACTAGTTTTTTAATTGGGTAAATGCACAATATTATTTATGTAGAATAGATTTTTCTAATATTTAGTCCGGGTGGGGGTGGGAGTAAACGATTCATAGAACATATAAGAGATCTGAACTCCATAGCACAAGCTGGTCATAAGAAAACTAATCTTGTTACTAAGCTATATACTAATTTATTCAAAGAAATTTTATGTGTGACATCATCATTGATTAATTATTAAATATTAACAAGGCATTTAATTACAATATGCAAATGACATTCTATAACAACCAACATATCTAAAACTTGAACCAACTGTGCATAGCTTGAAAATTTTAGCAAATAAAAAATTGAGCAGAACCATCCCCATCCTCTTATTAGCAAGTCCATCTAGTTTCTGGACCAATATCAAGTCCATTAATTGTAGTATATGATTTGAGCTTCATTTGAGAACCCATGATTCCACCCTTCCACCGCCAATCATTGTCTCATCTGTCAGCAAGTTTTCCAATAAGACCACGAAACACTACTTTCATGCACTCGTTTTCTCCTATTCTTTTTCTTTCTCTTTCGGCATTCTTTCCATTCTTTTTCCTTCTCCTTTTCTTTTCTTTTTCTTTTCAAATATCATCATATTGGACCGGATAGTCATCTTCCAGCGGATAACATGGTCATCTTCGCTAGTATTCCAAAGAAAATGAGCATAACTTGCAGCATAGAAGAAATTTGCAGGCCCGGCGTCTATGGCTGCTTGGTAGGCCTCTTCTGCTCACCAAAGTTCATTCGTCACTTGCCACCTCTGTTGCTTTCTTGAAGTATTCCTCCACTCTGTCATAGTCTTGAACAACCATGTAAAGAAACTGAGCATAATTGGTGAGCAAGTTCTGTTTGGTAAAACAACTTCGCCCGAAAATAATCTGCATTATCACAAGACTCCATCTTCCCAGTTACGGGGGAAACGAAAACCATAACGGTATCACGATCCAAAGATGGATCTCGTGACTCAGATTGCAATCTTGAAGCCTCACCACAAATAGACTTCCACAACAACTCTTCTTCACTCGAAACCTTATCAGAAGAAACTGTTTGTTCTTCAGTAGTAGCGGAAGAAGACACTCCATATGTTACATGGAAAGAGCTGAATGACAAAAGGAACAGAAATGAAACTGAACCCAATCGATCACTAAGAGACAAAGAATCCAATAATGAGAATACACCAAAGCAATCAATGATAGGAACTCCTAACAGTAAATCGATGAGTATTATTGATGTAAAGCTGAGAAACAAAGAAGACGATACAAATGAGGCACTTCGAGAGGCACTCAACTCTCCAGAACCAATTCCCTATTCCAAAATTAGCCTACCTCCTTCCTGTAACACCCCGATTTTTATGAGCTAGTTATATTAATCATTATTAATTATTTAGTCGGTTAAATTGTTTCTTTAATGAATAATGAGATATATTGTGTAACGTGTTTGTTTTTGGCAGGTAACGTGGACCGGTAAGCTCATAATAATTTTGAGTTTAAAAAAAAAATGTTTTAAAGTTTAATCAGTTTTATTGAAAGAAAAAGTACTTTTAGAAACAATTATTTTAAAGATAATTAGAGGCCCGGATCAGTTAACTTGGCCCAGATAAATGTGTTTAAGGCTGAAATCCCTAGAAAGGCAAATTAGAATATATAATCACCCGTAAACCTTTGAGGACCGACTCTCTTCTTAAGCCGCTACCTGTCGTTCTTTGCATCCGAACACTGAAAGCTTTCTTTCCAACTCTTCATTAATTCAACCAGATTATTTATCAGATTTGTCCTTGCATCTCTTGTTGGGTAAGCTTGATTCCTTCCATCTAATTATAATTCTTCCTTGAGTAGTTAATTTTATTGGATTTTGCTTGAATTCTTCGTTTTTGAAACTATCATAGAATCAAATCCTTTGAGAATGTTTATTTCAATTCAATCGCAGACCAGTTTGGCTGCTGCTATTTTCAATTTAAAAGACTTCTTTACAGTTTTGAAGGCGTAATTATCTGAAAAGTGATTTGTTTGAAACTTAAGCTTGAGTTGTTGTTTTAAATAAGTATTTCTAATCATCAGGGGGCTAGTTTCTTTTTGTTTTAAATTTGAGGATCTTACTTAAGTGGAATTATTTTAGTTGATGTATAGAGATTGTAAAATAGAAGCATTCCATTTTCATGTATCCAGAATGTATAATCACGATTGATGCTTAGTTAGTTTTGTTAAAAAAACAACAAAGCCGGATAGTTCTTATTTTTCAAACAACTAACTTGGGTAATAACAAAAGACCACTGAGTTGATCTTTTGGTCGGCACTTTTCAGCAAAACGATAGATTTTCAATTACAGAATTTTTGGTTCACAGTACCATCGATTTAAGCTTTGGTTATAGTATAATGAGTTTTAATTGTAATATTATATTATATTATATTTAATTAAAGATTTAAGGGAAGAGCTTACCGGGAGACGTTATCAAGTGCCACACTTATCTGAGTATTTTGAGTTTAGCTGCTAACAGGTAAGTTCACTACCACCTGTACATGTTTGTTCAACCAAATGCAAGAAGTCTGGTTGATTTTTAATAGATAATTTTAGACTATTTGCTATTATGTGAACTATGTGAATTATGTGATGAGTTATTTTATTGCTAGATTAAGTTATGTTTATTATCTGGCATAGTCAAGATTTGTTAGTACTTTCGTTTCCAGAATTAATGATGTTTAGTCAAACGTCACCATAAAAAGAACTAATACTTAAAGTGAAAGATTAAGTGATATGTACTCGGGAACTAGATCCCTCAGTTAGCAGTTTTAGTTTTAGATAGTCCGATATGTTTAGTGGGTCGCTCCCCTGAGCTGTCGGATTGGCGCCATTGAGTACATATCACGGGCCCACAGTTAAAATTAGCCACAAAGAGTTTATAGAAAGTTTATGAGATCTCTTTCAGAAAGATTTACAGAAAGTTTTTGAGATCTCTTTCAGAGAGTTTTACAGAGATGTTTTCAGAAAAATAAATTTTGAGATCTCTAGCAGTTTTGAGAAAAATATTTTAGAAAATATTTTTCCTTTGAGATCTCTCTCAGAATGTAATTGAGAAGTTATGTGTTAGTTGTTTGTTCAGTGCATGCTTATAGCCTAAATTTTATCTATTGATAAATTGGCATAGACTTCTAGATATTTTTGTGGATCCATAGTGACTTACTAAGCGTAAAGCTTATCAGTTTCTTTCTTCGCATGTACAGATACTAAAGGTAAGGCCAAGGCCTCGGAAGGTGATGAGAGAGTGGAACGCGTGCCAAGATGAGTTGACGGGGACGACCTTGGCGGCTTCCAGCTAGCTAATATTATGTCTCATTATTTTAGATATTGTTCTAAGGAGTTTATTATTATTACTTTTTTTTTATTTATGGTTTGAAGTTTGAATAAATTCCTGGATCCAGGTGGTTGTCACATTTGCTAGTGATAACTAGAATTTTAATGAGTTTTATTTGGAGTTACATCTTAGGTATATTTGAGATTTTATCAGGGTTATTTCTTAAACAAACGGCCGTTATATTACAGTTTATTTTTTTTTTTAAAGTAGTATGCTAGTGTAACGATTCCTTTTACCCTGAGAGGGGCGTTACAAATTTGGTATCAGAGCCAGGTTGTCCCGTAACTTCATTTGTCACCGTACACGTGCTCGTCATCTTCCAAGTAAGTACTTATTTATGCTAAAAGTTATCTATGTGAAAATATGTTTGAGTGTTGTTGGCATTAGTTAGATAGAAAAGTCAAGAAAAAGTAGTATGTATTCAACTCGTAAAACCTTGTGTTATTGCGAGTTATTCAGATTAAATTTTCTTCGAGTGCCTATAATTCTTGAGTTAGGTCTTCTGTTTCATTAAGGAAGTACTTAGGGTTGTTATCGAAAGACACTATCGTTCTAGTCATGCACCTCCCATAATTACGTATGTATCCGCAACCTTCCATTATTAGACTCTGTTGATCTTTCATAGCAAGTATGTCTCCTAAATAGAGGTTACTCATGATTAAAACCGATTTATTTATTTTTTTTTAAAAAAATGTCATAGTCTTTATCTTCTCATGATAGAGTAAATGAATTATATAACAACCAGTGCTATTCCAGCTATCTTTTTATATAGCTTGTAGTTTATTCATGGTCTAAGTCTTGTTAGTTATATGTTTTTTTTTTAATTAAAAAGAATAATAATGAGTTTGTCTGATATTTTTCTAAAGCATCACATGTAATTGAGTTTACATGAGTTAGAATTTTCATGAGCATACAAATCTGTTTGTTATGTATTTTTATTCATTTATTAATTGATTTTTTTTTAACGCCCATGCTAGTTACATTATCTTACTATATTTTTGGTTTTAAAAAAAAAATGAGTTATAAGTTATAGCTTAATTTTTTTTGTGTAAAATGTTGAAGCTACACTTCAGATTTTGAAAGCTCTTAAATAGTAGATTCCAATGTTTATCAACAGCATCATAATATGCAAAAATTTTCTAGGGTGGTGAGTGTCGGTATTTAATGTTTGGAATCTTGAATTGGTGGGAGGGCCCCTCATCAATTTGATGATTCCAATGTTAGATACCGCTAGTCAAACACCGCTTTAATGTATGATCAATGGTCATGTTATTCAAAAGTATATGGTCTTCAAGTTTCAAATGGGTATTTTAAAAAAAAAAAAGTTTTTAAGGGTGTTCTGAGTAATCAGAAAATGCATTTAGTGATTTTTACCGAAAGTTTAAATTCTTTTAAGTGATATAAAAGTCTATTATTTAGCTATTTCCTCAAAAGTGTGATTCAGAAGAAAGTTTGAGTTTTGAAATGCCTTAAATAATTTTTATTTTTCAGAATATTTTCTGCCTTTGGCAATGAGATTCAAACAGTGTTGTAAATTTTATTTTATGAAGGTTGTCCTCAAATGATTTCTTTTGATCATTTGATATTCAAAGGATATTGAGTCTTGCCATTTAAATTCCTTTATAATGACCTGCCATTAAAGTCTATATAAGTGATTTAAAAGTTTTCAATAGTATCCAGTTCTTAGAAGTTAGATTAGAAGGGATAAGTGAAAGGATTAGATTAAACAAGTTTCTGGTAGATCACGAGTTTTAGAACCTACTGCCCACTACGATATGGGGATTTGTGAAGTGTGTTTCAATACAGTATGATCTAGAGTATGAAGATTTTAATAGAATAGAGAATATGGTACCATTGAGCTCTCTTATAGCCATTATGTACGAGTATTTGTAGACAGTATCCAGTGAGCTCATGTTGGGAACTAGCATGCTCTTTGAGTAATAGAAGCATTCTTGGGAGTAAAGAGTATAGAGTTTGGTACCACAAACCATTCTTTTATTATTAAGTCATCACCAACTCAAGGGCTTGAACCCCAAAGCTGAGTAAGAGTACTATGTGATTTTTTTCAATTGATCAAATTAGTGTCAGTCAAATTAAGAATATATGAAACCTCTGATGATGTTAGATTTTCTTTTGAAAGGTATTAGTGTAGATCCTTGGATCAGCTTATTAGATCTTTCGATGAATTTATTACTCCCAATTGAAATTTACCGAGCATAATAAAGATCCTCTGTAAAAAAAAAAAAAGATTCTGAGTTAGGATTTTATTGCAGAAATTTCTTTATTCAGCCTAAGTTGGTCTTAGATACGACCATGTACAGTTTATTACTAGATGATTTAGCAGATAATCATTTGTCAGATGCTATGAGAAATTATGTATTATGTTTTGCTACGTTATCATTATAAAAAAAAAACTATGAGAATTTTACCACTATGGCTCTATAAGGGAGCAATATTTTCCAAAAGAAGATGGTTAGGAGCTAAAGGTTTAGAAGGACCAGTGTGAGTGAAAAAAAAAAACGTATTACTTTACTTAATTCTTCTACGGCTGAATAAGGAAGCAAAGAGATAGAGTTATAGTTATATTTGAGAACAAAAGAATGTTTGTTGTCAAGTATTTTGTGTCAGACAGTTATGTGTTTGACAATGTGAATTTGTGTTAAACAGAACATTAATGATGTCTTGTGTTTAAGGAACATGAAAATTTGAAACTAAGCAGACAATCCCTTTTTAAAGTTGACATTCCAATG